ATTTTTCTCCCCACCGAGTGGCCGGGGGATTCAAACTGCTGACTTTTCTGGGTAGTCACCCAGCATGTAATATGCTGTGCCGCAAGGGTCCTTCTAATCACTGGAGTGATTTGAAATTCCCCAGCATAACATAGAAGCTTCACAGCATCAGCATCTGATGCTCTGGACCCTGCAGTCTCTGCATGCAGACTCTGGTGCCAGGTGGCCTTGGGTTCATACCCTAACTCTGCTCTCCCTCGTTAAAAACCTTTTTGCCACTGAGTCAGAACTGACCCTCCATTGGGTTTCAGAGGCTGTAAATCACAAAGATTCATGCCCGTCTTTGTTCCAGGATGAATTCAAACCACCAGAGAGGATGGCCTTTTGGTTAGCAGTAAACTCCCCAGTAGTCATGCAACCTGGGCAGGTCACTTATCCTCCATGAGCTTAGTTTCTCCTCTGTACAATGGGCATTTATGAGAGCACCTGCTTCCCAGAGAAACCTCTTTAACCAGGTGGCTAACTTCAGCTGCTTCATCCTTGCCTGGCGAGCCGGCTGAAACAGATGGCTCAGCCTCAGCCTCCGAGGCGGAGTCACGTTCTAACAGGTTCCCACGTAATGTTGATGCTGCACTATTAGAAGGATTCAGGGAGTTAATAATACATGTGACTGTAACAGGGCTTACTTAGCTCAGAGTAAGTATTCAATAAATGTTTCTCTTATTGTAGAAAAATTGAGAGGGGAAAAAAAGAGTAACTCATGAAGTGATTACCAAGTGTGTGCTGAGCTCTCTGCCAAGGCCTGATGCTCATTTTATTCCCTCTGAGGGTTCCTTAGACTTGATGCTGTTTAATCTCATGTGACAGATGAGACAAATGAAATAGTTACATACCCAGGCTCCCCACATTCTTCGTGTACCTGCGTTTAAACTCCAGGTCTAATCCCGTGAAAGACCAACCACCCATCTAGGTTATTCTCTGCACCTGGTTTACAGAGAACACAGAGGCTTGAAGGTGGATTCTCTGGTCTGAGTAAACCTGTATCTGTTTCACGTGTTTGCTTCCCAGTGACAGGGTGGTAAAGAGAGGCCTCAGTCAAGCTGAGGGTCATTAGCTTGTAGCTTGAGGCAGGGGACCAGAAGAGGGGTTGAGTAGTGGCAGCATGGACCAGAAGAGGTGAAGGACAGCACTGGCCTCTCCTGCCCTCCAGCTGTGAAATTGTAGCAAGTTACTACTCTGACCTTGTGTTTCCCGTATCTGTAAAGTGGACATAATGATCATAACTGAAGATGCAGACTCACTGCCATCAAACCAGCTCTGACACATGGAGAGCCTCCAGTGGGTTAACAAGGCTTTAAATCTTTAGGGGAAGAGACTGCCATATATATCTCAGTGTGCCTGGTGGTTTCGAACCACTGACCTTTGCTTAGGAGCCTGACCAGAAACACTATGCCCATGTGGCTCCTAACCCCATATAAAAACCTCAAAAACTCATTACTATCAGAATAAACTCATAAATGACCCTCCAATGGGTTTTCAAGAGACTATAAATTACACAGGAGGAGATTGTTCATCCTTCTCCAGAGGAGCAGCTGGTGGATTCAAACCATCTACCTTACGGCTAATAGCTCAACCTCTTACCCCCTAGGCCACCGAAGCAAATAATGACCTTATAGGATGAATGAGATGAGTCAGTAGTAGGGCCACATTGAACATCAGCTCTTGGGATTCTTAAGTGCCCCCTGTTGTCATTCTGGGCTGGTCCTCACTGCCTCTACTTGCCATCCCCCTAAGAAGGGAGAACCACAAGCATAAGGCAGTTACTTTTTTTCTAGAAGAACTTCAGCCCAGGTTGCTTGTGTAAAGGCCTCGATTACAGAGGTGTTCTGTATCCATGGCTGGAGTCCCTTTGCCCTTAGCCTGACGGTCCCACACACTCATTCCCCCGACCCCACCCTGCAAGGGGAAGTCAGTGGTGACTTCCTTGCTCAGAACTAGAGACCAGGACTTGGTAGCAACCCTAGCCATGAATCCCACCCTGCACTCCTACCCTGGTCCCCCCGGAGTCTGGATCCCCCACCTGTGCTGTATCCATTTGGTAGAAATCAGCAAGATGCCAGTTCCAATTAGGCTAACTGCATGACCCTGGGTAAGTAAGTGACTGACTATTTTCTAATTTCTGCTTCCTCTGCAAATTGGAGATAACGAATCTGCTACAAAGGGCCTGGCCTGCTTGCTGCTGAAGTGGGCTCAGCCCCGTAGGCAAGTTTATTAAGGTTAGGTTTGTTTGTTGTTGTTGTGGGGGTTTTTTGGGTGGTATTTTTTTTTAACGCCATCAAGACTTTCAACTTCTGCTAGGACTATGTTTTCAGTGGATTTTTTGGGAAGGAAATTGCCAGCCCTTTCTTCAGAAGGGCCTCTGAATAGACTTGAATCTTAGTTAATAGCCAAGTGTATTGAGAATTTACACCATCCAGGGATTCAGTGTCATTAGATGCTGGAAGTTGTTTCCTGTTGACAGCGATCCTGTGTATGTTACGTACCTACAAGTGGGAATAACTCATAGCTGACCCTTCAGCAGGTTTTCAGAGGCAGTAAATCACATGGGGGCTTGGAAGCAGGATTGGCATCCACTTCCTAAACAACATGCCTTTGGAAACTCTATGAACATTGGAGAAACGATGATAGTTATAGAACAGGGTTCATAGGGTTGCTATGAGTCGTGCTTGACTTGAAGGCACTTAACAACAAATCAGATGGAAGGAGATTACCGTGAAGCAGCTTAAGGATTCGAACTGCCTTCCACTGGGTTGACAAGCACAACTCCCCTACCCTGTATATAACAGGGCACAACGTTGCCCAGTCCTGCACTATCCTTGCAAACAGCCCCTTGTTGCAGCCTCTGCATCAGCCCATCTTGCTGAGGGTCTTCCTTTTTTACGCTGACCTCTAGCAAGCATGACGCCTTTCTCCAGGGCAAGAACTTATCGAGTGCCTACAGTGTACGGAGCTCTGTGAACTCTGTAGGAGCCGGGCGGCTAACCCAAAGGCTGAGCTGCTCTGGAGGTTGTTGGCATCCACCAGTTTCTCTGAGGGAGAAAGATGAGCCGTCTTCTCCCTTGTGATTTACAACCTTGGGAAACCACTGGAGGGCTAACTGTGAGTTCGATGTCACTTGATGGATATGGAAAGACTTGCCATGTACCAGGCACTCTTAAAGGTTCTGGCAACACAAACGTGGTAGACAGTGATGTGACCCTGCTGGGGTGGGCATATATTTAAAGCAAAGACAGTTAACATCCAGATAATCTACAATAAAAGAAAACTTTCTTTTTTTTTTTATGGTGAGAAAAATTTATTACATTTAGAATTAGCCCGCTGGACTCAGTTTAGATGATCCCAATTTTGTTGGCAACATCCAAAGCATCATAATC